GACATACTTTTGTCCATGGCAACTTAGTATTTGTCTTTGTATCTTTAATTCCTAAAGGTTTTGTCTTTAATAGATCTGTCAGAGGTAGAGCAACATCGGCAAAACAGGGAATAAACTGCTGATAAAAGTTTGCAAACCCCAGGAAACTCTGCAGCTGTTTTCGAGTGGTTGGGGCTTGCCACTTTAACACAGATTCTACCTTCTTTGGGTCCATTTCAATACCTCATTCAGAGATACGATAACCGAGGTAATCCAGTTGTTTGGTATGAAACTTGCATTTGGAGAGCTTTACGTAAAGTTGAGCGTCTAACAGTTTTTTGAGCACCTGTCTGACTAATTGGATATGTTCTTGTTCAGACTTTGAATAAATTAAAATGTCATCCAAATAAACCAAAACTCCTCTATATAAATGTTCATATAACACGTCATTTATCAGCTGCATAAATACAGCTGGAGCCCCCTGTAGTCCGAACGGCATCACCTTATAACAATAACTGCCCAATGAACAATTAAAAGTCAACTTCCATTTGTCTCCTTTCCTAATTCGTACTCGATAATACGCTTCTCGTAGATCAAGTTTTGTAAATATGCGACCTTGTGCTAAGGTGGTAAGTAGGTTTTTCATTAATGGTAATGGCTATAACGGTTTTGCAAAGATGGCATTTAACCCACGATAGTCTACACATAAACATAAGCTGCCATCTTTTTTTCATGGAATAACACAGGCGCTGCCACATGTGATCTACTTGGAGTGATGAAACCCCTTTTTAATTTTTTTTTCAATATATTTTCTCATCTCGTCTAATTCTTTGTGGGTCATGGAGTACATTCGTGGCTTAGGTAAAGGTGTGCCTGGGATCAACTCTGTGGCACAATCCGTCGAGCGGTGTGGTGGTAGACAATCAGTGCCATCTTCTTCAAACACCTTGCCCAAATCTTTATATTCATAAGGGTAGGGGTGTACGGTTGACAATTCCTTTATCAAAGCGTGTTCAGGAGCCCGTTGTGCTCCATGATGACTAGGTGGATGAGGGCCAATTGCTAGAGTCAATTTCTGATACCCTCCTTCCCATTTTATAGTTGGCTCCCACTTATCAAGCCAGGCTAAACCTAAGATTACTGCTTCGCTCATATGAGGAACCATCGCGAAAGAAATCCACTCCGTGTTCACCCATCACCATTTTAAGATACTCAGTTCTATGGGTCGCTGGAACCCCACCTAATATGGACCTGTCCACCTGTTCAAATTTAATGGGTACATCTAATTTAACGACATTTAAACTTAGTTTGTCCACCACCCTTTTAGTTATCAAACATCTTGTGAACCCAGAATCAATTAGTGTCCCCACCTTGATTCCCTGTTCAGTTTGCTTATTCCATAGAAAAACAGGCAAGATAAAAGGATGGATTGGTTTGCTCACCATCGGATCATCGGGGATCCCACCTTCCAAATCACAGCCGGTTGAAACCGTAGTTGGTATATCCTCATCGTGGTTCTCCAGTGATTTGCTTCGAACACCCCTGACTTTCTCCTGTCCATGCCACTCACTTCTGGTTGATCTGGTTTGGGTACTTTCTGGACCTACCCAAGGTATTCTGTCTAATGTCAAAGGGGGTATGGAGCATGCTGCAGCTCTATGCCCCAGTTTATTACATCGGAAACATATCATTATTCCTCTACCACCTGAATTAATTGCCCCTTTAGTCTGGGGTTTTATTACTGGATCCATAGTTTTACGTGTTTGGGTATCACTTTCAAGTTTAGGTTTCAAGCGCCGGAGTCCATCATCTAATTCTATTGACACCTGATACCATTCGGTGAGTCTAACATGCAAGCACCTGTATAGACAGGCTTGATGTAACTTAGGGTCCAGACCTTCTTGAAATAGATGTATCAATAGACTTTCAGGTAACAACAGCAGTTTGCTAATCACCCTTCGAAATTCATTGACACATTCTCTGGCCATTCTTCCTTTCTGTTTTATGGCCAGCAGATCTTCTTTGGCTCGTTTATCGGCCGTTGTATCCTCAAATATTGTTTGTAAGGCGGCCAGAAATTGCCCTATATCTCCTAACTCCTCTGCCCTGTTACGAAACAAAGCATCTGCCCATTCATATGCCTCTCCCACCAATACTCCAGTGATTGCAATGATCATTGACCAAGTGGAAGGGTAACATTGGCCATATAAGTCAAAATGATTCAATACCTGACCTAGAAATACAGCTACTTTTTGTACAGACCCATCAAAAGTAGCAGTCAGGGGAGGTGGTCCCCATCTTCCTGGTGTCTGCCCTCCCCAATGAGGCCCATACTCTATCTCTCATCTTTTTATAGAGCCAGGTCTTATGGAATAACTTTCGGACCCCACACTCCTCTCATCTAATCCTCTAGTACGTAAATCTGACTGTTCCAAGCCTCTCCCTACCTCAGTGTTCCTGAATCCCATTGATTTTGGTATGCTCACCGAACTAATATCAGGTGTTAAGGCTTGTTTACGTCCTAAAGAGCCTCTATCCATGGGCCCACGCAATGTCATCTCTCTGAACTGCTGACGTAAAAGTTCCAACGTGTCACTACGTGGAACCATCCACTGGCTGTCTTCTGCTCCAGGCCACCTTTTCACTTTCCAGTTCAATGTTCGTTCCATTTGGGGCAGCCCTTTTGGAGTGTAACTCTATTCACTCAAACGCACTTTTGGCCGCATGGCTGGCTGCGCTGTCAGCGGAATATCCTCCATCTTCTCCCCCATATCCTCAGGGTCCTGTCTGCGCTCACCCCTCTCTTCAACTTCCTCACAAACCTCTTCCTCCAAAAAAATCAGGGTCTTTACCTTCTGCCATGATGATCTACCAATGGAGTAAATAGTACGAGGGAGTGCTGGCTTTCTGTCAGCTCCTACAGGAGGTCGCTGAAACTGGTTCAATAAAACACTTCACTCACAGTCTTGATGTAGCAATGTGTGTTTATTTTGGCTTCCTTCAACAGCAGCAACAAAGGGAAAGTCCGAGTAAAGCCAGCGCTGAGAGCGTCTGCCTCTCAGCGCTGTTTATATTTTCCGTTCACCCCCCCATTAATTAGCTAACATCCACCCGTAAAAAAACACCCAACATTGTTACAACAATCTCACGCGCTATCACCCAAACCCCCAAACAACACCTTCCCCCTCCCCAAGTGCTGTTCTTCCACCCCGATCCATGCGATATCCCCTATGCAGATTGCTGACCAGCCGAAATGACATCCCAAAGTCTTTCCTGGCTGAGAAGAGTGGGAGGCATGTTACTTAGAGTTTTGCAAAATGCCGAACAACTGATAAGGCATTTTCTCAGCCGGTCGCACTGCAGTGGGGAAGGGCGGTTACGCGTGGCTCCGTCAGCTGTCATTGACATTGATTTGGGACCTTCAAGGTAGATAGCTCTCCCCCAACCACAGCGACGTGTTGGGCTTGATTCTGTCAGCAGCTTTGTTGAAGCCTCACACCCCCACTGTTATCCCAAATAAAATACAGTATTAACCTTAGAAAAGCCAAAAGACCAAGGCGCTAATAAAAAAACTGCCTGAAGTCCACATTCCAGCCAGACACCTAAAGAAAGGCGGCTCCATTCATAAGTAAAGCAAATATTGCTGGCAGAAATCCATTCAAGGCAGGATATTTCAAAACCCCTTACAGCAATTTCGACAGCTAACGAAAGCAGAGGGATAGGATTAGTGCAAGCAGACCCTCACCCCAAAATCTAACACAGGACATAGCCATCAGCCACAATAAGAATTACCCAACACCCTTTCACAACACCAAGCCTATATTGCACAAATCCCAAACTTCAAGGTTACAGAACCATATAAGAAACTTTCCATTCACCCAGTTGGTTGCTCAGCTGCCCCAGAACCACAGGTTGGTTCTGCTCTTCAATAAACAGAGCCTTTCTTTCCAATCGGCCTCCATGTTATTTCCCGCATATTTCTCCCAGCTTGGAACTGAACCAGATGGGTTTTCCTTCCAACAATGCTAACTAAAGGATTTCAAGCCCCTCTTACTTATAACAACACTTGTGCTTCTCCCCCCTCCGCTCTCCCCCTCCCCGCTTTATATATACAGCATTCACAGAGGTGGTATTCAGCAGGTTCTGACCAGTTCTGGAGAACCAGTAGTGGAAATTTTGAGTAGTTTGGCGAACTGGCAAATACCACCTCTGACTGGGCCGCCCCCATCAATTCTCTGCCTCCCGAGCCCCAGCTGGTCGCCTAGGTCTTCTTTTGTTGCCCTGCCCAGGAGAATGGAGCTGGAAAGCAGGTTTGTGAGGTGAAGTGGGGAGGGAATGGGATTTTGCAGTAACCTTCCCTCAGGAGTGGGGAGGGAATGGGAATTTTACAGTCTCCTTTCCCTGCCATGCCCACCAAGCTACACCCACCAAGCCATGCCCACAGAACAAGTAGTACAAATTTTTGAATCCCACCACTGAATTCATTTCCTAATTGGAAAGTGGAAAGTGTTCTTAATAAAAGCTCGGCAAGGGGCAGCTCTTGACTTCATCTGCATCCAGAAGCAAGCAAGAGTGGAGCTAGTAAATCCCAGGGAGCCAAGAAAAACTAGGGCTGCATCCTATACCGAGGAAGCAAAAAAAAAATCTCGGAAGACGGCGATGCCGACCTATTTCTGTGTCCAGGAAAGTTTAAGAATTACATTTACGACGTCACCATTTTTTTCCAAGGGGGCCCACGCATCGCGGGCGATCTCCTAAAAATCCAGGTGTGGTTAAAGCGCGCCAAGTTTGACGGTACAGAACGGCAAGGCCTTGTTCGTCACACAAGGTTCCTGCCACTAGGTAGCGCTGTTAGGTCGCCACTTGGACTTTGAGGTAAGGCTGTTTCTGAGCCGCGGCGCGTCGACGGATGAGCCTAGACTACGCGCAACTGGTGGCGGGATCCTCCTCCTCCTCCTCCGGGAGGGAATCTTCCTATCTCGCATGCCGGGCTGCAGAGGCAGGTGCGGCGGCGGCTCTTCCGTCCAAGCATCAAGGCCGAGAAGACGAAGTTGGGAGCAGCAGACCTCGGGGGGCAACGGCGCTTACCGCCGCCTCTGCTGCTGCTGCTGCGAAACATGCGGGCGTCTCCCCAGTTGCCTCGCTGTGGGCGCCAGACGAGAGGCGGGCAGCAGCCGAAGCCGCGCGTGTGAGCGAGCGGGGAGCTCCTCTCCTCTCACAAGGATGCTGGGGGACGATGCCTCGTGGCAGGGAGGACGAGATTTGCCGAAAAGCGCTGAAACTGCTGGTCGAGCTCTGCTCCGAGGGGACGGTCGAGAACGACAGGTGCCTGGAGTTCAGCTACTACCTGCGGGACAGCGGCAGACCCCGGCCGGCCGACGCAGGTAAGCGGCAGGGAGTGGCGGGACACGGGGAGGGGAAGGACACGAGGGGCTCCCGAGAACTTCCTGGATGCCAACCAGATCTCTTCAAAGGGGTCTTCCTGGTTTCAAAGAAGCGGGCGCCCGTGCCGGCTGCGCTGGGCGGAGGGGCGCGTCTATCCTATCAACTGCCCGAATGCTGCCCATTGGATCCAGGCGAGCGCGGAAATTCGGGGCGTCGAGGTAGCGCGCATCCGGCCAACGCGGCTCCCCCCACCCCACCCCACCCCAATTGACTTCGGGCTGGCGTTTACTTTATCGGTGGTGCTTGGAGATGGAAGGCGTCTGACTCGGCATTTTATTCCGAGATATGCATGTTAAGCCCGCGCATTTTTATCCAACGCACCTTTATATTTTAGTATAATGTAGGCGTTCAACAAGGTGTATCTTTACTCCAAGCTGAAGTCCTACTACAGAGTTCGGTGGAAAGCACTCTCAAATGCGTTTCGATCAGTGTGAGGAGCCGTCTGAGCTATTTTTAGATCCTGTCGGGTTTCCCAGCGCCGATGCAGTACTTGGTGAAAGGCGCCAACCCTTCTCCAAAAACTGTAGAATGACAGGAGATCCGGCTGATGGTATATTCTTCTGCCTCAAGGCAGAACTTTGCACACAGCTCTTCCTGAAACTTACCAAGTACCGTATAAACTTCCAGGGCAATTCAAAATTTCCTGGACTATTTATCTCTTATACATCATAAACATAGGTAAAAGTCACAGTAATAAAAAGAATCAAATATGAAAGACTCATGAAGTCTCCTACTAGCATTTAGGCAATTGGGGAATGCATTTTCACTTGATTCCTTTAAGATCAAACTGGTCATGACAGTAACTGGAAGCAAATCTTGTTTTTCTTGCAAACCTGTTTCCAGCTGGATTGGACTAGTTGCTCTTGAGTGAGTAGGTGCTGTCCCAGCATAATAATAAGCTAATTCATTATTAGTGGCAATAAGTTGTTGCAAGACTGAGTATATTTGAAACTAGCCAGCTAACTTTGGTAAACTCAGTTAGCAAGGATCAGGGGAAGGAAATATGCCAAACAGAATGGTAAAGTATTTATTTTCCGTCCTAGAATGATTCTTGTAATATTTCTTTGGAAGCAAATACGATTAAAGAAGTCTGTTCCAAAATAAATGTAAATGTCAAGCGTGAAGGAGTTTAAATTGTTTTGTTTTAGTAAAATCCATATTTATTCTGCAAGTAAGTTTGTTGCACCAGGTTTAATTTCCAACAGATCAAATACCCATACTAGCCTTTGTGGATGGGACTTATCCTGGATTATGTTTTTAGCCTAACAGTTTTAGTTTATCTTTTGGATAATGTACTCTTGGACATTTTTGTCTTTAAAAATCAATTTGGAGTGCATTGTTACTGCTCTACTTTCTAAAAGGGTATTAATTATTATTTTGCCTTGAAGTCCCAGAACTATTCCCTAAATATTACTGTAGGATATACTCTTATTAAAAATTCAGTGTTCCCCTAACACATTGACAACTGTATTTTATCAAAGGTATATTTTCCAGATTACTAACCCATGGCCTAATGTACATTTTTAAGTTGGAATCATAATGAGAGTTTTATCCAATTCACATCCTAACTCTGAAATCTACACATGGATAGTTCTTCCTCATTAGTTCTATTGCAGCTGCAGGTGATGGCCAGCCTAGTATATGTCATTTAGATACCTACTGAGACAGAAGAAGATTCTCTCATGCCTGTATATCACACTTTCTTCAATCTCTCTCTTGCATATCCAATGCCAATTAGATTCTTTTTAAAAGAGTAATGTTATTAAAAATTACAATGTTAAAGAAAAAACTAATACAAACTAAAATAATAAAAAGAAAAATAATAATATAGTAATATTATTTAATATATGAAGTCTTCCAAAGGCAGACACTCCTAAAATTAACTTCTGGGTATATTATTTAAAAAATATCCTTTAATATATCAAATATTAAAATATTTTGCTTTATTCTGTATTAGTAAGACATATTTAAGAGTTCTTTAATTGTCATCTTTAGTTCCTTCTGGTTCCCTATAGCATTCAATTTTCAAAGTCTCAACCATCAATTATTTTAAGAATTCAAAACAAAAGGGTTTTCCCATAGAAAGAAGTCTTATAATTAATTTTCAAAATTTTGTTTTAAATTCATGTGGATTTTTAACTCATTCGTAACCTTTAAAAATGTACATCCTTAAACTTGTACTTAAAATACTTCTTTTCCGAATCATTGAAGTGTGATGGAACGTAGCAAGGAGCTGTGTTCCCAGGAGGGAGAAGGTGCATTTCAGAGGTGTAAGAAACCATTCAATCCAGATGTTATGTTTGAAAGAAAGAGAATGAAGACATCCTCTTCTTAAATAGTTCACAGAGTGTATTGTAGATGCAGACAGTAGAGGGCTCAGTATGGCAAGACTTCGTTTATAGGTGTGGACACAATAAATAACTCAACTTGAAAGAATCATCATGTATCATTCTTGGATTTGGGCAAGACATAAAGAAAACTCACCCAGTGTTTTCAGATTTGCCAGTCCAAAGATTCCTAATAGCTAAAAAGCAATTTTCCAAAGTGATTAGAAAAGGAAGCAAAAAGAAGGAATATAAAATTGGCTAATTTGATTAAGGTTAAATATTTAGGATTTTTTTTTCTTAATGGGGTTTTTCTTGACCATGACTGAATGATGGGGCTTTACAGATTTGTTTATAGATAAGATATGGGAAGAAGATACTTTTTCTTGTATTCTCAGAGAAGGTGTTAACTTTATAACCCTTAATTATTTCATTAAGATATATAGATGTTGTTACTAGTACATGTTAAATTTGTGAAGGAGTTTCTGAGATAAAGAGAAAATGATGAGAAATCAACTTGTGGGATACTATTTGAAAGGATTAATAATCAAGATTCTTAATATGTTGTTTTTTCTGATAACTGCTAATGAACTTTTTTTACTAGTTTTGAATGATGAGGCTTTAAATATTGATTTATAGATAAAAGATAAGATAAAGGAAGGTTTTTTGTTGTTTACAGAAAACCATAAGTTGCTATGCTAAAAGAAAGGAATATAAAACTAATTTATTTGATTAAGATATATCTATGTTATTTCTAGTAATTTATGTGTATGTGAACTCAGTGTCCTTAAAAGTGCCAATTATGGTTTGAGCAAGATAGCTATTAATTTGCCTCCCAGAGCTTTAAACTACCATAAGGAGCAACTGTCTGGAGCACTTATGGGTGATCTCAAGTCCTTTCCCTGTCCAGAGAGGAATTATGAAGAGCTGGTTCTTCATTCTTCAGCGATTGTTGGCTCTGTTTTCAGTGGATCTATCTTCAGTTTACCTTTTCTTTTCTGAAGCCCTGCCATTTACATTTTTAATTTTGATTTAGTAATAGCATATACTGCTTCACAGTGCTTTACAGTCCTCTTTAAGCGGCTTACAGAGCCAGCATATTGCCCCCAACAATCTGGGTCCTCATTTTATCGACCTCAGAAGGATGGAAGGCTGAGTCAGCCTTGAGCCGGTCAGAATTAAACTCCTGGCAGTGAACAGTGAATTAGCCTACAATATTGCATTCTAACCACTGTGCACCATGGCTCTTCTTAACTGGAATATTTATTAGGAAACATATACCTTTGAGCTCAATGGGGATTCCAATCTGCTGTATATCTTTGATTGTTTGAACCTATGCTCTAGAGCCGAGGTCTCCAAACTTGGCAACTTTAAGACTTGTGGACTTCAATTTTAAGACCACAAGTCTTAAAGTTGCCAAGTTTGGGGACCCCTGCTCTAGAGAGCAAGAGTAAACCAAAATTAGCAGCAAGGACAGGAATCTCTCCTATAATCAGAACATTGTTGCATTTTTAATGTAGGGCCTGTAAAAATATTAATAGTTTGCTTGCAAGTCTGTAGTGCATAGCTACAATTTCTAATACTTCTACTACATGGATTGCTACATGCATATCTGTACTGGATTTAACCTGGTAAAAACCTGAGAGTTACAAGTGAAGAATGAACAGTTTAAAAGATAGGGTAGGTGAGATGATTGGAAATTCAAACCATCTTCTACTTTATCCCTTTTGCATCTGATGAAGTAAACTCATGAAAGTTCATGTGGTTATTAAAGTTTGTTATTCTAGAAAGGTGCTACTAGATTCCTGTCCTCCTCCTCCCTGTGATCTTTTCCTTCTCCTGAGTAGCCTTTCTACCTTGGTCTACCCTGGTCATTGTCTTCATTAATCCCTTTCAGGCAGTCTTGTGTGTACTCCATCCTATTTTCTTTTCTTCCCAACTCGGCTTGTATGTCCATTGAGCATGGTCTATCTTTTGTTTCAGTACTGTTTATTAACTTCTGAAAAACAATTGTCAATGTAAAGATTTCTCCAAATTTGTTAATGTTTCTAATTAGTTGATTATGGTTATGCATCAATCATTAGTGAGCATGGCATAGAAGCAAAAATTGGAAACAAATTGTTGCATGGGTAAGAGAATCTTTAGAGATACTTTTCATAACTTCCACTCTTTGGACTACTTAACTTTGGTCACCAGGACAACAGAACCTGCATTAAAATACAAAGAGGTCCTTTTGAATTACATGAAAGTTTCCACCAGAGCAAGCAAAGTTCCATATTGTCTTGAGTCTTTAGTTACATTATTCACATTGTGATTTAGTAAATATTTTCTGCATATTGATAGCGTTTCAATGAAAAAAAAGAAAATGTGATGAAAACCTATGCTAGGGGACTGATTAGTCAGTGTAACCCTGCAAATAAATCCACAAATGATATTAGCCATCAATGATATGCTGTGTTTACCCGTTTATGCATCTCACTTACATTAGTCATCTGAGGCATAATAACAGCAAAACATAAAATGAGATGTATCCATTTTCAAGTGATTTCCTTGCCTCGGTGTTAGGATGCCATAGATAAATAAATATCCAGTCCCACAAATTATATGCAGATATG